GGCTTTGGTGGGGGGGGAAGGTCCTGCTGGGATGGCCGGAGTCACGGGACGTGGATGTATGTCGCGATTAACATTCACGTCATCGGAATTACGAGACCTTGGAGGGTGCTGAACTCTCCCCTCCCCCCCCTTCCAGTAGATGCCCTCCGCTCTGGCCGTGGGGCAAACCCAAAACCCTCCGGCAGGTAACGGCGTTCCTGGCTCTGCCCTCCTTCCGCTCCTGGAAACTTCGTTGCGCCAAGCGGCGGAACAGGCTTTTCCTTCTTCTCGGTGTAGGTCCCGCACGGCTGTCAGCGTGCTGCTGCTTGGGTGAAACACGTAGCCGGGTCTCTGTAACACTTTTTTGGTGGTATTGTCGAAGGCGAATTCGCTCTCGATTCGGCGTTGGCTTCGAGACGCCAGGGTCGCACCCGCCCGCGGGACTGAGGCTGGCCGGTTTTGCGGGAGAGCCTCCGTTGGCGTCGTTCCAGCCTGGCACTTGGCGACGTCGCTGGAGAAACTCCCGCCAGCGTCACGCCGGCGAGGCACGGTTCAGCTCCGCGGGCGCAGGGCGCGTGGGAGGCGTGATCGGCTCCCGGCTTGATGAACCGAGGGCGTTTGTCAGTGTCTCCTCGTTAAACTTCGGACGGCTGAGCGGCGTTCGTGAGCTGTGGTCGGCAGGGTCTGGCACTGGAGGGGAAGCGTTGTCGGGGAGCTGCGCCTCAGAAGTGTGTCGGCTCTTACCAACCTGGAACCCAAGAAACTGAACTCGCTAGGCAGGGAAGTTTTCAAAAGCACTTTTGTTTCTACCTGAATCAAAGTTGGCCTGTTCATACCAAAACTTAAACAGCCTTCCTTTTTTTTTTTTTTTTTTTTTAAAGCCGGTTCTCTCACCTAAATTGTTTTTTTCACTCTAGGCAGTAAGAGTAATCATGGTGGAGAAGTTTTCCTGCAGACAGTAGCGAAGACATTCGGTCGAGACAATGTGTTAAATTTGGCTTTTTCCTTTGAAAGTCCCAGGCGCAGGTTTGCATCCTCTTGTGACTGGGCTCTTTATCCTTCTGAAGTAGAGCAAAACTGGTTTACGTAGCCTCCGTGTGGGTGCTGGTTTGACTTCCAGCAGTCTCTGCTGGCTTTGTGCGCAGGCTGGGCTCAGGAGTCTCTTTGTACCAGGCTTTTCTTCTTAGTGTTGGCTTTCAGGCTTGTACACTTCTTGCTGCGGAGGTACGGAGTGTGCTGGTGGCTGAAATCCCATTGAGGCCTACGGCTCTCCGTTTGTTTTTTTTCCTTAAAATAATGAATCTCCCGCAGACTGGTTGCGGTATACAAATGTAAATGATGATGTCTGGTTTTCATGGTATTATTGTATGGTATTTATTTCTGTGGAGTGCAACTATTAATTGTTTCTCCTCTTCGTTGAGTTGTAATATATGAAATAGCCTTTTGTCCTGTGATGGCTAAAAAGACCGCTTCTTCCTCTTACTTACACGTGAGTACATAGTAAGTCCCACACACGTAAAAAATAGCTGAGGGTGTAAAAAAAACCACCAGCCCAGGCTCCTTGGCGTTGCAGTGGAATCAAGCAAAAGTTGAAGTTAGAAAGATTTTTTTTTTTTTATGGGCACGGATCAGATTACAGTAGTGCCTAAATATACTGTAAGAATACATTTGTGGGTTTTTAGCTGGACTAGGAGGAACACGATGAAATACAACTGCAGAGATGTATTTGTAGTATCTGTGCTGAGTACTTTGTGCCCTGTCAGCTGCGCAGGAAGGCATTTTTATTACAGCTTCCTGCATGGACCTATGAATTTTCCTTGTTGGTTCCTTATTAATGTTTTCTGGTAAAAGGAATATAGTGTCATCGTCTCAGATAAGTGTTGGCTCTGTAGGAGTTTGGGGTACAAAAATGCGGCTGCAGTCCTGGATGTGAAACTAATCTGTTGAAGCTGGAAACGGACGGGAAGAGCCCCATTTAACATTTCTACCAGCAAATAGTTTTGCGAGTTCTACTGTAGAAATCCGGTGCAGGAGAATAGTGGAAGATCTCTCTGTAGAAGTTAGCTACAGGGTACATTTAAATCAAAGAGGTACTGTCGATGCAAAGTACGGATACGGAATTGGAAATAAGTGCAAAAAACAGGGGTACACCATACCCCTTGCAGAGAAAACACAAGGGAAATCATTAGGGCATGTAATTAACGAACTGTTAGGTCAGCATAGATCTTAGTGGTTGTTACACCCTTAATCTGGTGTAATGCATCATATTCATCTTACCTCAGTGAAGTTTCCTCTCCGTATGCATAAAGGCAGTAACAGAAAATCAAATTGGTTTTGGGTCAGTTCAGGCCTAAGCAAGTCAGGAGGCTTGTTTAACTCTCCACAGCCCACGAGTTAGGTGTTTTCCCATACTTGATGAAGGCCTGAAGCTCACAGTGATCCGTGTTGATTCCTGGTGAATCATCTGTGGGCTGTGCTGATGCTGTCATGTGTCCCGTAACACTGACATGGTGTTCGCGTCACTGGGATGGTGGCAATCCTCCTTGGGAAATCACTGCTGTGGAGGCTGACCTTGAAACCGGTGAAGAAGAGTTGCCCTGTAGACTCCGTGACGTGCAGTAGAGGTCGCAGTAGTTGGATGGACAAGCAAAACCCCAGCTCTGCTGCCCTGTTTTTCATTCTACGCGCTGGTAGTTCAGACCTGGTCTTCCCAATGTCGGCAGGTATGGTACGAAACGGCTGCTAATGCAGGCAGGAGGTCTTGCAATACTTCTCTTGAAACCAGGTAGATACTGGTGGGCTCTTTTCTCAGCTTTGCCATTTGGCAAGTCTGAGATGGTGATGATGGCTTTATCTCCAGACATCTGCTTTCGTTCTGCTTGCACGATTTTTTTTTGTCCCTTCAAAAGTGAAGCTTTCTGAGACAGATGAATAGCAGCAAGTGGCATGTTGGAATACATGGACTTGCTGCGTTTCTCTTGAGTCGATGGGGCACCTTGTGTTGGATGCCTACGCTTCCCCCCTGCTCCCCTCTTCCTCCCTGCCCCGCTTCTGTTAAGTTGCAATGCAAGGTGTTCTTTGGTTGGTTTGCTCCGATACAGCAGTAGGAGAATATACTCTAATACACCCTAAAACCTCAATTTTGAGGGACAGAAGTAGTCTTAGGCTTTGTTTAATCTGCAGTCTTTCCTAGCATGCTTAAAAGCTCTATTGTTCTAGAGGACAGTAGAGTATGGCGTATGTTAGGTTGTTACCGAAAAAAAATCCCCTCAAAAGACAGAAGGCAACTTAAAGAGTTACTGTAGCGTCTCAATGGGAAAGGTCTAGCAGAAAGACCCAGCAATAGTGCTGCACTGTAAGTTGTGAGAGTCATCTGAAATATCCCAAGGAGAGGAGAAACAAGAAATACACTTGAATTATTTTGAAACAATTAGTAATTTTGTTGGTTTTACTTTTGTTGAGTTGGCTGACCAAAATGTATGGTAGAATTCTTCACCTCTTTCTAAAGAGAGAGGAGAAGGAGGAAGGGTTCATCTGGAAAACATCTGAAAAGAAACGTCCCCGAAGCAGGGGGAGATGTCTTTGCCCCCATTATTTCCACTCCTCGCCTTGTTTGCTCTGCTGTGCATTAGTGTGTGTGTGGACCAGGAAAAGATCTCAGTTTCTCTGACCCCCTTTTCCTTACAAATAAGGTTTTTTCCTAAGCTATACCTGTCAGCCTCTCAGGAATACAAGTAAATAATTTATATTTGTACAGTAACTTACAAATTTTTTATATCATCTTGCTACTGCCCAGGGATCCTCTTTGTTTCCTGGGTCTTTCCGCAGGTCTCCTTAACTACTCTGCTGGATTCCTGGGTCCCTTCTTCCCTCCCTTCCCCAGTTATATGACGGAGAGAGAACTTGTGCTTGTGTTGACAGTGACCTTTCTCTGCCGTTACCCCTGGTGTCTCAGGCTCCTTGCCCTGTGTGTTCATGCTTTTCCATCCTCCCGTGGCCTTGACGTCCCGGGATCTTGCTTCCTCCGACCTGAACAGCTCGGTCTGCCTCTTGTTTCGGGTTCTTTGCTTCCCCTCCTGCCCTTTCTGCACCAGATTCTCGACTGCCCTTGCAAACAATTTTTTTTTCTTTTCTTTACACTCTGCTCTTTCCCCTTCCTTTCTGCCACCTCCCAGGTTCCCGCTTCTGCTCTCGCCCTTCCTGCGGGATGAGCCAGCCTGGTGGGATGTGTTGGAGGAGCAGGCTGTGTACTAGTAAGCTGCTGGTGGTTTTCCACGATGCTGAGGTGCCTTTCTTGGCAGACGCGGCCGTTTTCCCACCGAACAGCAATTTCTAGTTGTCAGCGTGCTCCTTGCCGCTTTTGCTTTACAAGAGAAATTAAAGAGCTGCACCCTTCAGTCTCAAAAGGAAGGGCTTTGTACAGGGCCGCTGGTAGAGCGTGGCTCTTAACTTGCTTAAATAATTCCTTCTCCTGTGCTGGATCCTAAGTGCCTTCTGTTGAATATTTAGCGTATCGGATTTGACTGGAAAAAAAGCATAGCATGTGGTCACCAGTGTGCATAGAGCGACTTAAAAGATGTAGTTCCTGTGTTTTGTTTTTTTTTTTCCTAAACCTGGACCATTTTTATTTTCCTGAGACGTGAAAACTCGAAGGCTTTTTCGACTCAAGCTGTAATGTGTAGTATATCATTTGCTACACGTCAAAAACTATACTTCACTGAAGAGTAGGCTTTCTGGCAAATTGCTTTGATAGAAGAAAATAACACATTCTGCACGATGCATTTCAATAGCTTCTCTAATGAAAAGCATCAGATAAAAATAAAATGCTTTCAATGCTATAGATCAGTTTGTAGTTGATGAAATGTTGTTCCCGACTCCTCCTGTACATTAGGATTTAAGGGCCAGTATATCCTGTCAACTTAATTTCTCTGTGCGTGAATTGGCAGTACAAAACTGGATCTGTATTTTTTTTTTTCCACTGTTTTATAGAAAAAAATTTTTAGAATTTTTTAGTGAACCTTTGAATGCAGTATTGTATTTTGGCTTTTATATTAAATCGCTAGCATTCTTTGCATTGGCGAGTGGTGGAAACAGCTTATAACTCTTGTTTTGCTTCTGTTGTTGTGCTGCTGCTCAGTTGCTCTACTCGAAGGATAAAGACCACTTTCGCATGAGACTTTGCAGATGTTGTTCATGTGAAAACTCCAATGGCAAAAGAAAAATATTCAAAATTTTATGTATGCAATTAATTAGCTTAAGAGTCTGCTGAATTCTTTCTACTTGTTGGGGATTATTTTTATGTGGTGTTTGTAAACCTAATCTGATGCAACTCTGAATCATTTCACTTCTCTGAGCTTACAGATTGTATCTGTCACCTGTGATTTTTCTTCTTGGTGTTATATGCTAATACTTCTCTGTAGAGTTATTTGATTGATGCGAGACCCCTTCCCCAAGAGACCTGGTTAAACCCTGGCCTCTTCCCAAGCCCCAGTTTCTGTCCGAGAAAACCCGACGGTGTGCTGCTGCTTGGCGTTTGGCTTAGGCAGCGTCTGTATCTCTTCATTATGTGTGGTGTTGAAATCCAGGGTGCTGTTATCGTACCAAGATCTTGTGAAAGCTCCTTAAGAAAAAGTCCCTCTGCTCTTCCCATACCGCACCTCTTTCTCAGGAATAAACCCTTTTAGACTAAATTTCACTGTTCTGCCGTAGTTTCTCCCATTATGCAACCATAAGCCTGAAAGACGCTTGGTCAGTGGCCAGTAATCTGCTGTGGAAAGAGATGATATCGTGCTATAGCTGTCTTTAAATTTGTACTTATGGGTTGTAACCATCCCTTTCTAAGCTGTAAACATCTAGAAGCTTTACTTCCTTTTTTCAAATGTGTAGATTTCATTGGGATCACAGAGGCGTGGTGGGATATCTCACATGGCTGCAGTGCTACCATGGATGAATACAGGCTTGTTAAGAAGGACAGGCCAGGATGGGGAGTTGCCCTTCATGTGAGAGAGCGGCAGGGATATGTGGAGCTTTGCCTTGGGATGGGTGATGGGCCAGCTGAGAGCAGTT